CACCTAGGTCTATGGTACAAAATACACTCAACTATTCCGTTAGATCTATAGCAAACACCTTAGCCTCTAAGGTGTGACCTCCATAATTCAAGGTTTACCTTCAAAATCTTCTTAGTCCTTATCAACAAGAAGAATATTCATCAGCAAAAAGCTACACCAAGATACATCCTCTTGCAAATGTTTAGTGAGAACAACCATGACTAAAGCAAAAAGATATGGGCTTAAGGCTGATCCTTGATATAATCCAACTGAAATAGAAAAATACTTGTTCAAAACCAACTGTGTGTTTGAACACAATTAATAGCTCCTGCATATATATCTTTAATGATTTGAATATAAGCATTATTAACTCCTTTCTTTTCAAGAACTCTCTATAGCACTTCTCTTGGAACTTTATCATATGCTTTTTCTAAATCAATAAATATCATATGTAGATCCTCCTTATTTTCTCTATATTTCTCCATCAAACCTCTTAATAAATGTATGGCTTCCATAGTCAACCTACCCGGCATGAATCTAAATTGATTTTGAGAAACATTAGTATCACGCCGCAACCTATGCTCCATAACTCGCTCCCATAGTTTTAAAGTATGATACATTAACTTAATTCCTCTATAATTCGCATAATCTTGTGCATCACCTTTATTCTTAAAAATAAGAATTAACACACTCATTCTCCACTCATTTGACATCTTTTTAGTCTTCAAAATAGTATTAAAAATTTTAGTAAGCCAATAAATTCCGTCATCTCCTAAGCATTTCCACAACTCTATTGGAATATCATCAGATCCAACAACTTTCCACCCTTTATTTTCTTTAAAGCTTCTCTAACTTTAGTTTTATTAATACGCGGATAAAAATAAAAATCTTTATTTTTATTTAGGGTGCTAAGGTCACTACAATCAATCTTATTTTCACAATCTTCATTAAAAAGTTTAGCAAAATATCTCATCCACTTTTGTTGAATATCATCTTCTATGAAAAGTATTTTTTTATCTTCATCCTTGATACACTTCACTTGAACTAAATCCTTACTACTCTTATCTCTTTGTTTGACTAACTTATACATATATCTTTCTCCCTCATTAGTATTTAATCTATTATATAAATCATTAAAAGGTAAGGTCTTTGCATCGCATATTATTTATTAGATTCCTTACGAGCCTCTTTATATCTTTTCCAATTATCAGAGTTTTTAAAATTAAACCAATTTTTATAACAAATCTTTTTATTTTTAATCTTTTCTTGCACATTTGGATTCCATCACTAACTATTTTTACTATTATGAGCTTTTCCCTTTGATACTTCAAGCACATCTTTTGCAATATTTTTAATATCATTAGCCACTTTTTTCCACATAACATTAGCATCATCATGCACAGACAAAATCTTAAGATATAAAATCTTACCCTCAAAAATATTTTTGTTAATATACTTTAAAAACCCCCATCTAATCCTAGAATATTGTTTTAATTTATTTTTTATTTTCTCTCCCTTTATCTTAAAGTCCAAAACTAATAATGGATGTTGGGTACATAAATTTTCAGTCAAAATAATTTTACAATATTTACAATTTAAACGATCTAATTTTCTTATAAGAAAATAGTCAATCTGAGTTGTACAATATCCATATTTATAAGTGATTGGTACTATAATAAAATTAAAACTGGTATTTAGAGAGAGTTTTATAAATAGGAGAAAATTTTTTAAAAGATGTGCACTGGGAGATGGGATGTAGAACATAACATGTAGTAATAGGTAAATCATTACTATTTGTTAATGATTTTGAGCCTTAAAATTGCTAGAGATATGGCTAGGCTTATTTCTTCTTGTATAGACTTAAAGGGATACAATGTTCATATTTTTTGGAGTTTGTATTGTGGGAATGTCAAAATGAAATATAAAAGTTTCATCAAACTATCTTCCAGTTAAGAGTTCTCTCCTTTAATATTAGTTTAATTAAAAACTTTTACTTTTCATCAAGGATGAAATTTTTTAAAGGAATTTTTTGGTGGTAGGATAATAATACCTAAATCATTTATAAGAGGAATACCAAATAAAGATACAATTGAGAGCTCGGAGATCAAGTTTAACACTACATCATTTTTGTGGAAGCGAACATAGGCACATAGGCAATGCACCCAAAATTTTTAAGGAAATGTTTTATAATAAGTTATTTGTGTGAAAAATTTTAACCAAATAATTGATAGGACTTTAGAAGCCAATCACTATTTATGATATTCTATTGGTTAGATACGTGCCAATTAATATTAATCCCTAATATATTTTTTGCACTTGATTCTATAAAAGAAGAATCCTGATGACCTTAACAAGATAAAAAAAATTTATATCATTCCATTTTGTTGCCAGTTATGTGGACTAGATGATTGGTGGAATGTACTTTTTTTAGAACAAATACGATAATATAATTAAAATAATCATGAGCATTATTAATATGAAATACTTCGATGATATTATGAAATTATTTTTGCATCATGACAAAAAAGATAGGAGAATAATGTTGACATCAAATATTTATTTGATAAGTTATAAACATATCAATGATTGCAATAATTAATAAAGGAAACAAATCATGTAGCTCCAAAAATACTATAGATTTTAAAAGATCCCCAAATGTCAAAGAGATTAATTAGAAAATGAATAAATCATCTAGAATCACTTTCAGAAAAGAAAAAAAAAACAACTCAATGATGTTTGGTGATTTCAGATGTCTCACAATGAGAATTTTATTCATTTATATTGAGGAAAAGATAATGAAGCATAAATTATAAGATTTCGAAAGAAGGATGTCCTAGTTTATAATAATATTTCCAAATGACCTCTGTAAATGAGGTAGAAATGAAGGAATATGATAAGTGATTTCCATCTTTGAGATGATACAGCCCGTACTTTTCTCTAGCTTAGCCCATCATATTCCCCATAATGAGGTCCAGAAATACATAACAATTAACAAATTGGAATACCTTGCAGTTGTAGTCTTTATTGATTTAATAAATTGATAAAAGATTTATTATAATATGAGGAATATGTAGTATATTACTTAGGGTATATAAGGAAGAAATTGATATGTTTTTCTGGCCTACAATAATTTTTAGAGAACTATCGAGAACATTTATTTTTCTATTACTAGGGAAGAATTTGTAGGCTTGAAAAAGGTTAGTAATATTGATCATATGGTGACTCATGAACATAGAATCCACATGTGAAAATTATTTTAAAGCACTGAAAATACCAGAGTTAAAAGCCATATGATTCTGAGCTAAAAAGACTGATCCTAATAATTTTTTCATACAATTGAGGAAGTTCTTAGGTTTCTCGATTTCTTTTAAATTAAGCTCATCTGACTCTATAAGACAAACCTATCCTTTAAATTCCACCATTGCCTGGGAGCTTTTTAAGGAGTCTCCAGTTTTTTTTTTTTTAGTGTTATTTCTACTTGCAGTAGTTGCACCATAAATTGGCTTTGAAAGAAAACTTTTGTCCTTCAATACAAAAAGAGTTTGTAGCCTTGGATTTAGTGGTTTTCATGGCAGATGTTTCAAAGACTAGAGCGCCGAGAATTACCGTCCATTTTCCTTCTTCAACTCATATAAGAGAAAAAAAAATCTCATCAATGATGATGAATTTTCTTTGCATGAGATTTGGACACAAACTTAGTTGGGAATTATTGAGTGGTGAGAAACTCAAACAACCATTCTCTTTCAACAAATTGCTTGAGAATTATCGCATAATCGCAGCATATTATCTTGAGATCTTGGCAAAAAATTTAGTTCGAGCCAATAAACATTCATTAAATTTAAAAAAAAAAATCAATGAACAGAAGGCTACCTTGCTTGATTGTTGAAATCTTAGTATTGATCTCATACATTCAAAGACATCATTCACTTTTGACTATATTTGTTTAACGACGTACCAAACTTCTTTTGCAATAGAAAGGAATGTTAGGTCCCTTGGCTTTAGAGAAGGATCCACCAGGTGATAGATCCTCCCCTTTTTTTTTTAGAAAGGCCGTCACAAATTGGAACAACTTCAATAGTTTATCTCATTCGAGTGATATGAGACTTGTAGCCTTTGGAGTTCTCCCTAAGTTATACTTACACCATTCAAGATGATTGACTCCTTAAAAGGGGACGTCAAAGTAATCAAGCATACATAAGAGAAGAAAGTATGCTAAAAAGAACAAAAATATAATAGACCTTGAAGAAATAAGACATGACCTCACTCTGATACCGTTTATAACAATTTAAACTCTATACCATCGAGATATTGTTGGCTTTGGTCTAATGGTCGCATAGTTTTGTCCCACTGGCATAACTTCTGGGACTTCTCTCATTATAAGAGTGCTCCATAAGAGTAAGCTTAACATTGAAATTTTTATAAAATTTGAACCATTACACAAAAATACTCCACAATCCTCAATATTTAAAAGTTTTTTTTTTTTTAAGTATTTTACAATCTCCCTCACTTAAAAAGTTGACATTCTCATCAATATTAATAACCCATAATCATTCACTAGGCTAATAGGATTCTAGAGATATCCCCTACAGGTTCAAAAGGTAGATCCATTCATGTAACATTTAGTCCCATTTAGCATTCAAGAGGCAACTCCTATGACGCGGCAATTTATCCTGCATATTTCTCTGATACTATTTGCATTTAGAAAAGTAGAAAAAAAAAACTACCTTCAATGTTATTCCTTGACAATGTACAAAGTGTAAAAATGCATATAGACTTCTCCAAATGTCTTACAATGAAAATAAAGCAAAATTATTAACAAGAAAGGAAAAAATCCCTAAGAGAGATTGATAGCTAAAAGAGGAATAGGAGGTACATGGATTAAATCCAAGGACCATAAAAAGGTTAATCCAACAATTATTAAACATTAATCATTAATTATTTGTAAAAACACTTGAATAAAAAATAAAATACAATTCAATCAATTTAGGTAACATGAAATTAGTTCCAAAAAAAAAACTAACCTTTGAGACATGCTCAAGTGTGATAGCCTCAGGAATTATGCCTGTTCTTAATCTAATCTCAACAAACCCACTGCTTCCTTGCAAGGGAAAACACTGACCAGGCTCACCAAAACTTGGTTCTAACATCTTCTGTGCATTAGAATGAACTCTACTTATACCTTTAGCAACGGCTAACCAGCTGCTACCTTTTCCATAAACATATGGCTCTGAATGACTAACCACCTTGGCCCCACCAGAAGCCAAAGCATAATCCACTCTTCCTAGACCATCAGCAGAATGTTTGTCAATTTCTTTCTCAACAATTTCCTTTGTCATTGCCATGATCTCATCCAAATCAACATCTTTGCTAATATCATCTACATTCCCCTTGCTCTTTAGCTCATTCCAAAACTTCTCAAGCTCTCCCTTTGTTAAAAGGTCCCTGTCTTCCAAATCTGCCAATGACTTGCTCAATTCATCAGTTCTAGATTCAAGCTGATTCAGCTCCATCTCAATAAATGATTTTTTTTCTTGAAATTGTTTTTGAAGCTCCCTTTTTACAATGCCAATCTCATTTCCTATCTTCTTGTCTATAACTTCCACCTGAACCTGCAACATTTTTGATGTTATCTTCAAAGAGTTTTCAACTTCTGACACCCGATCTTCATAATCCAACAAAGCAAAGGAAGACTTGGTATCCCTTCCAGCCAAAGTAGAACACCTTGTAATAAATTGTCCAAGATACAACAAAGCTGCTAAAATCAGTACAATCCTTGTGAGAATAGTGAAAAGAATTGACCACCAAGATCTCCTCCGTCTATGTACAGATTTCTTCAATTGCAGAGAGCTTTGAACTCCTTTTCTCAACTGTGACAACTCTCTAGACCTCTCGAGTAAATAATCTCTTCTGATTGTGTGACTCGGGTCATTCCCATTTGCAATTCCATTACCATTATTCATTGCGCTCAGTCCTCCATCAGCAAGAATGCTGCTTTTTGGATTCATTGCAAAAATTCTTATATTTTGCTGCTACAAAACAAGGAGGTGTGATCTTTCTTCTTATTCCATCAGTTTCCTATAATGCAGATGTTTGATTGGCCTAACAATTGAATAAAAATATTTAAAAAAAAAAAGTAAGAACGTTCCAAACAGACACACAAATTGCAAACTGAAACTTCAAGAAACAATACATTACATCATGCGTGTCATGGAAAGTGGCCAAAAGGCAACAGCTTTTTAGATAGAAATACAAAATAATTATATTTGCATAAAAGAACAAAGCAGACAGCAAAGCCAAGTGAACGAACAAGAATATTTTTTTTAATTTCGGTGCAAATGTGTCAAATTTGAAGCTTTTCCAGGGAAAAAATGTTAAAAATCTCGGCCAACTGGCAAGAACAAAACAAATTTCGAAATTTTGCAACAAACAAAAAACAAAGATCCAAACTTTGCGACAGATTCCGAAACCATGGCAGTCCAATAATGCACAAGTATTCTGTTTATCAGATCGAAAATGATGATTGCATGGCGTTGCGGATCAAGAAGAGCGAGAGAGAGAGAGAGAGGTAGCAAAATACCGATGTCATAACGAACTACGTTCCGCTAGGGTTACGATCGGCCGTCTGGAGCCTTCTATCGTTTATGCCGCCAAACGGCGCAAGTTGCACCTTGTTTTATGGGCCGCATGATTTTTTAATTGTTTCAAAGAATTTTTAATATTTCCCAATAAGAAATTATTACGGACGGGTTATTATTATTATTTTTTTTTAATTAAGGGTAAAAACTAAAAACCCAACAATACATTTCAAAGAGCAAACTAAGTAAAAAAATAAAAATAATATAGTAGACTAACTAATCAACTAAAATTTAAAAGAGTAAAATATAGATACTTAAGAGCTATTTATTTTGTTAAAATAATTAAAGTAAAATATAATTCAGATTAAAAATAAATAAATATTTGAATATTTCTAATTTTTTAAATGAGCATAAAATAAAGAAGTGATTATTCTTTCATTAAATTTAGAATAAAATAAATACATAGTAAAGTTTATGGATGTAGATGGTTAGTAGCTAGCAGCAACAGTCAACAGACTACAGTATAGGGCAAGTAGGTGGTGCAATGGCAAATGCGGATGATGACAAGTGTCAACTAGTATCGATAGCGGAGTCAGCTTGTAGCATATTCAAAATTCTATAGAAATCATGTGAGTTTGAATACATCATAAATGAACTATCAATTGAACTTAAAATTCGTCAAAATTTTAACTGATGCTCCTTTTTATCAAAATAAATACCAAATTTTTTAAAATTTCTGCATTTAGAGTATTTAAACTCACATTTCATCAAACCAAAATAACAACTTAAGAGATTACTAAACTTATGAGATATTATGCAGTGCAACAACAACAACAACAATAACATCGATCCTTTATCCCACTACATATGGTCGGCTACATGAATGATTTTTCTCCATTGTATTCTAATAAGAGACAAACTCTTATTTAAATATAACACATTATGTATTAAGCTATCAAGCAAAAATATCTAAAAACTAAGGCTTGAAATAGATATAGTGATTCCAAGATGAATAAAAGGAATTTTATCTAAATTAAGGCTTTGTTTGGGATAAACACCATCTCGATCTCATAAGAGAGGATGTGCTCTGATAGGGTTTTCTCCCCCTAGTCGTTCGTCTTCATGCTTCCCTCCTAAATGCTTCTAGTGTTTTTCAAGAAAGTTTTTTCTTTCCTTCGATCTTTTCTTGTGATATTATTTTAGGTTTTTTTGCTTGCACCTAGTTTCATGGCGGGTAGCCGGTTATTGGATCCCGGTTTTTGAATGGGAAGGTCTAACATCATTTTTTTAGAGATGTGATTTCCGGTGGTTCTCATTCTTCAAAATTTTCTTATCTTAAAAATTATTCGCCATGGTTTGTCGTAGTTGTGGATTTCGGAAGTGAAGTTCTTGCTCTCACCGCCCCTTTTGAGTTCGCATTGGTTGGCAAGTTCTCAGATCGGAGACCTTCAGTTGATGTTATCAAGTCGTTATTTTTTAACCTCAAGCTTAACAGTGCTTTCTTTGTGATTGTGCTCAATCCTAAGCTTTTTTTTTTATTAAGCTTGTAAATTATATGGATTACTATTGGGTGTTTGTTCATCGCTCTTATTTTGTGGGCAATTGCTTGATAATGAAGTTGAATCCCCCCATTATTCTTATTTGGGTTTCATTTCCCAATCTTAGATCGCATCTTTTCTCTCCTCAGATCCTTTATGGCCTTAGTTCTATGTTTGGCCGACCTCTTAAAACTGATATATAATGCTACTTCATCTGGTTCTCATCCATTCGTTGCTCATGTTATTGTTGAGTTAGACGTTACCAAACAAGTTCTGGATAAGAAATGGGTTGGTCCGGATAGCTTGAGTTACACTCAATCGATAGTCTTTGAGGACTTTCCTTCTTATTGTTCTCACGGTAAATCTTTAGGTCACAAAAAACTGGATTGTAGATTTTTGCATCCTCAGTCTACTCATGTTGTTAATGGTGGAGAGAAAGTTGCTAATGTTGTGTTGGATAAGGGGCTCGGTAATGTTAATGCTCAGCATATGGTTGAGCCTTTGATTCATAGCATAAATGATGTGGGCCTTCCGGTTTTGGATGGCTCTCCTGTTTGTGTTGATGATGCTGCCGGTGAAATGGAGATTTTGGAGCCTCTTGCTTTTAACTCTAAGAATTAGTGTGTTGTTCCTCATGAATGTTTGGTATGTCCCTAGCTAGAGGTCTGTTTGGCTAATTTCCCAGTTGGTTTTTTGAAGGACTCATTATGTATTGCCTCTCTGAAAGTGAATGGGGTTAATTTGGATTTGTGTAATGTTAACACGCAGGGGTTGAATAAGTCTCTTAGTGTTATGGTTGATGCTTCCGGCGAATCTTCATTACCTCCATTAACTTCTATTGATATCATCGACATTCCTGTAACTATTATCGCTAATGAAGAGTTAAAAGTTCATTTGAATATAAATGATGTTTGTGTGTCTCAAAGAGATTGGATTGATGATTCCTTCTTCTCACCTGGTGCGGGTGGTGGGGATGAGTTGGATGTGCATGAGGAGGATTTCAATGATATGTTTAATTTGAATGTGAACCGCATAGTGGAAAAGGCTTTCTCCTAGGGAGTGGAAAACATCGTCGACTTAAACACAAAAGAAAGTAAATTTATTGCTTTTGGGGTTACGACCTGGATGTGTTATATTTTTTATGGGTGGCTGCTCGGGTGGCCTTTGATGTTTTATTGATTGTTGCTATTTTGGTTGCTATATGTTGTGATGTCTATTGGCTGGTCGGCTATTCAAATTAGTACAACAATGAGGCAAGTCCCTGCACACCACTTGATAGCCTTATCTTGTTTGGCAACCTTGGTGGTTGATTCTCTGCCTGGTTTTGGTCTTTAGCTCGGTTCTTGGTGGTTGATTCTCTTTCTGGTTTTGGTTTTTAGCTTGATTTTTGGTGGCCTTTGTATATTTGGGCCTTCTGGCGGTTGTTGCTCTACCTCAAAGGGTGGTCCAAGCCAGGCAACAGGCTGGCATTTTTGAGTCCGTCTGCCTTTAAGGATTTTCTTTTTCCTTTTATTTTTAGAGTGCTTTGCATTCAATCGATTATTACATTGTTTTGGCTGTCTTTTCATGTTCTGACCTCTTTATGACATTGCTTTGTATGTCTTATTTCCTATTTGAATAAATAACCATTTACAAAAAAAAAAAGAGGCTTTGTTTGAGATAACTTTTGGCCATTTATTTTTTGTTGCTTTAAAAAAAAGTGTGATAGAAAGCTACTTTTAAAAACAATGAGAAAATTATCATAAATAAAGCTTAAATACAAATAAAATAGATTTTATTAGCACATATATATTGGGAATTACAGTAATGATGCATCCTTCTCAATACTTTTGTTCTGTTGTAAACTACTTAGTAGTTTTTCAATTTATTTATAATCACTTTTTCTTTCATTTATTTCATAAAAGATATTTTATACAAATGGACTTTACTATTGCTTAAAGCTAAGTATGCATTAATCATCCAAATTAAAATCAATATCTGTCGTGCCTCATTGTGCTCAATGTCTATTATAAAACTATTAAATTTGGTCATTTAGGCATTGTTCGAAATATTCTCTTATTGCTTCTTAAATTAATTTTTTAGTAAAAAATAAATAAATTTTATACTAGAAATCTATTTTAAAAAGCAATAAAAAAGTCGTCACAAACAAAGCCTTAATCACATTGATATTAATTAAATTTGCATTTCAAAATATTTAAAATAACTTGGAATGTTTTTTATATTAAAAAAACATTTTATTATAAAAGTCAAAAAAGTAAATAAGCATATATTGTCATACTTTAAATAAATTTAAAAAATAAAAATATGCCCAAAAAATCATAAATAAACTATAAAATGGAACAACAATAATAACATCAAACATTTATCCCACTACGTGGGGTCAACTATATGAATATTTTTTTCTCTATTGTGCATATTAAGAATCAAATTCACATTTAACTATAATAAATAAATGTCATTTGTAATACTTTCTTATCAACTTTACATAGGTCTACATTTATCTTTCTTAACATAATCAAAATATAATACACATACTCTTCTAACCGGATCATCAAAAGGCCGACATTTTATGTAATTAAACCATCTAACATAACTCTCTCTAATCTTATCTACCACTGGAGCTACTCCAAACTTTTCACGTATATATTTGCTTCGCATTCTGCCTTTAAGGCTACGTTTGGGACAGCTTTCGCACTACTTTATAAAACAGAGTTTTAGTACAGTTTTTTTTTTTGAAGAAAACTATGTTATAAATCAGTAAGACAATTGTGCAAAAGAAACCTAAAAGTATAGTCGCTCATCCACCTAAGCACTCTCATCTCTTCATCACTTAATTTTATGCATCTTTTTTTAATGACCAATATTACATGTTACAAAACATTGTAGTTCTCGAACACAAATAAAAATTAAGGCTTCGTTTGAGACATTTTTTTACTATTTCTTAGAGCAATTTTTTTAATAAAAATTTTAAATTAAAAAAAAATTGTATTAAAAAATCGCTCCATAAAATAATAAAAAAAACCCCAAACAAAATCTAAATCAAATAATGTCTTACACCCCTTGCAACTAAGAGTGTATGGGGTCTCATAAATAAAAATAATATTGTAAAATGATTTGGTGCAAGCTTATTTACAAATTACTTCCTATGATGTTACATATTTACAAAAGTACCAGATAAAAAACCACCATAAGCCTGTCATGAATCAATTGGTAGTACTGCAAGTCTGCAAGCAACTGCCATCTATTTCTTCTAAGTAAAGCATGTTGATGTCATGGTGACCAATGAATCACCCTATTAGGTACAAAATACATAGAAAATAGAATGGTCAACCTATAACAATGATAGGCAAAAAAATAATAATATTTTATATTTTATCAAACAAAAATCATAAAAAATAATAAAAAAAAATAAAAAAAAACATGTGACTTTTATTTCATAAAATATTAAGTATGATTTGGGGATTTAGAAATATTAAAATAATTTTTTAGTAAAAAATTAATTTTTTTTATAAAAATTACTTTAAAATTGATAAAAAAGTTATTCTAAATGAAACTTATTATTTGACTAATTATTATCCCACTTGTTATTAATGTTCGTAGGAGAGTTAAGAATATTTTGATCAATATTTTTTTAAAAAATTTGATAAATTGATTTTTTTAGATTTAAAGGCATTTAAAAATCTATAAAAAAAAGCCGTTTCACTTGGTAGTGCCGTTCTATTTTGCCCTCGAATATATACCGCTTTCCCGAACCACCCTCACGTTTCTCTTCGATTCACTCCCGGTCTCTCTCTCCAGTTTCCCGTCGCTGTTAGAGATCACCGCCGTCGAAGCCACCGGAGATTCATTCGTGGTGTTCCGGCGGATTCCCTTTACTTTTTTCTCATCCAACACGCCCAACTCACCGATCTCCCTGGTGTGATTCTTTTCTTCTTCCGCAAGTTTATGTTTTCTGCGCGAGAATTGCAACGTTTCAGATTTAGAAGGAACGGGATTGGTTAGTTTTTCCTGTGGTTTCTCTAGTCGTTGGTTGGTGGATGTTATTCCCAGAGCCTGAATGTGACTACTAAGATTATTTATAGTGAAGGGTCGGTGTTGATTTTATTTGCTTAGGATTTCATTGAGATGGAAGATGGATACAATTAGTATTTTTATGTTGATTTGAGAGTAGTGACTTGAAGATTATGTAGTAAAAACTATTATTTTAATTAGTGTTTCTAGTGATCACACATGACAGTATATTAGTTCTTTGATAGGAAGGAATCCAATAAGAAACTAACAATAAAACTGTCATCATTGATGATAGAGCATCCAGGTTAGCCGAATATTTTAAAATTTGCCTTGCAGAGTAATTTTTTCTGAAAAGAAAACGTTTTTTTTTTGTCTACCTCCGATGGTTGAGTATATGGATATTGGTCTATTGAATTTCACTTTTCTTAATTTTTGATATTGAGTGTATGAATACTGGTAATCTGTACCTTTTTTAATATTCTTTAGGATTTTGCGAGACCGATAGGTTGCCACTACTTTGATCATCCTAGATTACGTGTTTGAACTGGACAGTCTTTTATGTGAAGTGTTTAAACTGAGTTATGTTCTTATGGGGAGTGAATGCATGAATGATTATTCAAAGGAACAAAGAAAAGGTGCTACTTGGATAACAGTGAAGATGTATACTGGCCTTTTACCTTGGGGTATCTCCAGATTGTTTTAATCCTTGAATGTGCAATCTTCTTTTGAAGAACTGAAGTTTTTTACTTGATGGTCAACCGAGAAAAAATGATACGAAAAGACAAAGATAGTTATGTTTTGATATTATAAGTGGGATCTGATGTACTTTAATACTCTGAGCAAAGATTTAGATACTGAGTTTTTTTATCATGTATAGTCTCACTGGATAGATCAAGCCTTAGTGGTTTATGTCACGTCATATACTCAGTTGAACAAGCATTGTTCATTATTTGATTAATCCATGACGCATAACATTTTAAATGATTCTTTTTGTTCAGATTTCAGGTACACAAAATATATTCATTGTTTATTTTTTAATGTAATAAAAAAGTACTTTTCCCTTTTTTTGAGAAAGAATAATATCTTTCTAATTTTGCGAATAAGCTCTTCTAGGCTTCTCTCTTTTATAAACCGGACAATTATTAAAGACCTAACCTTGGTATTTAGAGGAGTGGATGAGAGCCCTTGTTAGCAAGGGTTCATGGCAAGCTTTCTATCATGTTAAAACAAGATCAAAGCTCGAGCTTGCGAAGTTGGTAATGCAGCACACTAATTTGAATGGCAGAAGGTGACTCCGACGAGGAACCTGAAGCAGGAGGCGGCGCTGTCCACAAAACAGAGAATTCTATTGATGTATATGAAAAATTGTTTCTTCTACATAATTGTTCCCTATATATATTTTCCCATTGTTTTCTTAATATATGATATATTGTCTTTACTATTAATAATGCAACAAACAAAAAAGGAGTAGTAGTACTGTGATAATAGAATTAGTACGGTAGAAGTGGATAATGAAACATTGAAAGTAGGGGATGTATTATGTCTGGCTGGTAACTCGATAGTATAGGCATTGTTGTTAATTTTGGCAGTGATCAAAACAGGACCAATCTTTCGGCGGCTAAGCTTGGTGTACGTGCCTGGGGAGAAACGTTCACGACGCATGTGTACCATGACAAGATCGCCCACTTTAAAAAGGTTCTGCCGACGGTGAAGATCCACAGAGGCTTTATATTTATGATTGGCTTTGGCGAATTGTTAGAGAACTTTGGTAAGCATTTGTGAATATTGGTTGGTGAAGTTTGTGGCACTTCCAGACTTGCATTTAGGCAGCACATTAACATCCAAAGCAAGATTAGGTAGCTTAGTATAAACAATGTTGAAGGGGGACCTACCAGTTGAGCGGTTCACCATAGAATTGTAGGCGAATTTGATGGTGCTCAGCATTTCTTCCCATTGTTTAGGACAGTCTTGTACTAAACACCGAAGCATACTCCCCAATGTGCGATTAACAACTTCAATTTTGCCATCAAATTGCAGATGACCGGCTAAATTAACGTGCAAAATTGGTACCCAAGCGTTTCCATAATTTGCGCAAAAAATGACTTATGAATTTGACATACTTGTCAAAAGTGAGGTTTCGGGCTACACCATGTAGCCGTACAATTTGATGAAAAAAAAAAAAGATGAGCAATATGAACAGCGTTTGAGGTTTTCTTACAGGAGACGAAGTGCGTCATTTTAGAGAAGCGATCGATGATGACCATGATCGAGTCGTTACCTCTTTTTGTTTGGGGTAGACCGAGAACGAAGTTTAAGCCGAGGTCTTCCCATACAAAGTCAGGAATCGATAATGATAAATAAAGACCAATGTTTTGGGAGCCCTCCTAGCTTTGGCAGATGGAGCAATGGTCGATGAATCGAAAGACATCACTGTGGAGGCAAGGTCGATAGAATTTGCGCTTCAACTGAGCTAGTGACTTGTCTCAACTAGCAGGAGTTGCGAGACTTCCACAGTTTGCCTCCCGTACTAGTTGTTGCCGCCATGATGTCATAGGAATGCAAAGCAGGTTGTGTTGAAAAAGGAAGCCATGGTGAATAGAAAAGCTGAATACATTCCCAACTTGCTGGCATTATTGCCAGATTTCAGAAAAGTCAGAATCATTGGGATAAAGGTCTTTGAGGCAGATTAATCCTACGAATTCAATCTGTGGCTGGGTCAAGAGAACCATCTTCCTAATGAGGGTATCTGCGACTTTTTTGTGCTGACCGAACTGGTGTTTGAGAACAAAAGAAATTTTTTTAGAGGAAAGAGACCTAGGGAGCATTCATCCTATTGACATGTTTTTGGCTATTGATGAATTGAAGCGGTATGTTATCTGCGCAAATAATGAACTCTTAGTGTAAGAGGTAGTGCTCTCACTCATTAAGAGCACGGACCACTAAATACAACTCTTGTTTATTGGCTGATCATTATTGGTGTGACGGATAAAGATTCTCGTTGAAATAAGCAATTGGTCGTCCGTCTTAGGACAATACAACACCAATCCTTACAGATGAGGCGTTTGTCTCAATAGTAAAGATCTTATGAAAAGTGGGAATAGCGAGAACGTGAGCGGAGTCAGGGCCTTCTTGATGGTGTTAAAACTGCATTTTTGTTGATCGCCCCAACGAAAGATTTTTTTATTTCAGACACTCGGTAATAGGGCTCATGAGAACGCTGAATCCCTTAATGAACTTATGATAAAAGTTTGCTAGTCTTTGAAAACTCCGAACTTCAAAGAAGGAGCTCGGATTGGGCCATTTGAGGATGGCAAAGACTTTCTTCAGATTCATTTGGACACCGTCCTTATAGACGACGAAACCAAGGAAACGAACTTGAGGCGTAGCAAACTCACATTTGGTGAGATTGAAAAATAGTTTGTTTCCTGTAAGATTACAAAGAGCTGTCTGAGGTGACCACTGTGTTGCTCCAAAGTATCACTGTAAACGAAAATGTCATCAAAATATGCAATGCACAATTTTTTCAATGTTCATCGACAAGAGAAACTGGTGATGTAGGAGTAGTAGTATACATAAATACTTTTTAATCAGAGTTATTCTTGTTTACAAAGAAAGAGTTTAGGTTTTGGTTTGCAAAGATTGAACAAACTCTGCTTTTTTATCTGAAGATCAAAATTCATAGATCTTTGTATACAATTTCTTTTTTTGTCAGGGACATTCTATTGATTACTAAACTATCATGTATTTTTTTTTTTTTATTTTTTAGTTGTAAGTTTGTTATAGTCATTAAGATGTCCGGGATTTACTTGTCTACTTAAACGTTCTATCCACGTGCAAATAACGACATATATGATGAAATGGATGAATTTTCCCTCTATTTTATATCACTCCATATATTGATTTTCTTACTGATCCTGTAATTTGGTAAAATTTCCACTAAAATGCAGGTCCTAAGGCCACCACCATGGCATACAAAACGTATCAGTACCAGGCTGAAGCAGTAATTAGGGAATATGTGCTCTCGGATCCATTCATCCCTTACACCTCTGTGCTTACCGGTCTTTTTATATGCAAAATGGTATTTCTTCTGTTCCTTTCACTCATGATGTTGATAGCTGTTTCCTTGTTAGCATTGGGTTCTGTTCCTTTCACTCATGATGTTGATAGCTGTTTCCTTGTTAGCATTGGGTTGTTCGGTTATTTGCAAAAAAAATTCTCAGTTTGGTTTTGCATACAGATGTGATTGATATGTTTGATGTAATTTTGTGGAGAATGATGAACATGGTCTGATTTGATATGTTTGATACGATTGCTGTAGCCTTCCACTATATTATTCGAAGGCTCAAGTAAATCCAATATAAATAATCGGATCTTATAAAGTAGTTGTTCAGTATATTGCTTTATAAGAAGAAATAACTATTTTGTCTACCATTCCTTGCATGTTGCTTTGTTTTGTGTATAAAGAAATAATTTTTCATCATAGAAAGTTTCTGTGGTGTCCTAAGGGTTAGCAATCTTGGAAGTTTTCACCGCTTGTCATGAAAAGTGATCGCTTTATGATAGGTGGCATGATTTTTGAATGCGGGGTAGCTGGTTAGAGTTTTTTTAATGATTTTATGAATTATATTTGTAATTTTCAAGTGTGTAAGCCATCCTTTCTTAGCTTTGTTCTCAAAATTTTGCACCCTTTATTCATTAACTGTATTCAGATAGGCTCTGATTGCCTTTTGCTCTTTGCTAGATATTTAACATAGTAGAAGTTATGGGGCTCCATCATTATCTTTACACGCATTTCCCTATCATAGTTTTAATAATTTGTTACAATTATTTGTTTTAGTCTTGTTTACTTGTTTTCAATCAAGACCGACTGATTTGAGCTTATTTCGGTGGATACAACTTTTGGTTGTTTATGGCTTCAGGGCGACCATCATGGATCATAGTCTTAGACCATTGTGGTTGTTGGGGCTTGTTCGAACCATCTTGTGTTGGTGGGTCGGCATAGGTTGTGATAGCTCAGCATGTTTTTTTCACAGGCTATTGGAGAGTTGTGGTCAGCTTTTTTAGCCTTATTCTGAATAGAATAACTAGTTTTCCGTAAGTTTGGAACTTGTGCAACATTCGGGCTTCATACTATCATGATAACCAATTCTCCAGCAAGCCCTCTTTTATAAGAAACAATACAGGCTTAAGTATATCAAAATTAAAAAGTGTGCAAAGTTGAATTACTTATGATTTTTCTTTTAAGTTTGATAGGCTGTGTTTCTAGCTATACGATAAATTTATCTTATTATTTTTTATTGAGAATTATGCAATATATTTTAATCTTATATATATATATATAACATCCTATGTGAAGGGATTCGGGACTTATTGATTAGAAGAGAAGATTGTTCTTTAAGTTAAAAGTTAGACTGTTCGAGTAACTTTGCGATTATCGCTCACCATTCCCAAAAAAAAAAAATAGCGTCATCTATATTTTTAACATTGCAAATATTTGAAAAAAAAAAGTTAAATACGTAATAAGTTATGTTAATTATATTTTGAAATAAAATTTTACATAAAGTTCTCAAAATAGATTTAAGGAAGTACAAATAGACTTATTGTTTTGCACATGTACAATGAAGAGAAGAAACTGTACTCATAAGCGATTCAGTGAAGAGAAGAAAATGCTCTCATAAGACAGGTGGATAAGAAGAAAAATAAGTAGACTAAGGCCTCATTTGTTTGGGCTTAATTACTCCGTTTCCAGTTCGAATTTGTGAAAAAGTTATTGCTTTACTTTTCGTTAACACGATTTTTTTTAAATACCTTTTCCTATACCTCTGTATTTCTGCCGATCTGAAAAGAAAAAAAAAATTATGCTTACACGTTCTAATACCTCGGTTAAAAAAAAAAAAAAAAGAGTCGGGGAACCAAACGAGGCCTAAGGATAATATGAATTTAAATTATTAAAAAGGATTTGTGTAAAGTAGGTACATCATCTCATGTAAAGCTCAAGATAAATGAAAAGAATAAAAAGTCATAATGCTAACCCAAAATAGCTGGTTTAATGTGGATAATGATCAATTTTAACTGCTTGAGAAAAGACAAATTCCGTGAAGCCATAGTTAAAAACCCAAACTTGCAAAACTACTGAAATTAATGACGCTGCTGAAGCCCGTAAAACTCCCAAAACTGATGCCCCCTAGATAATCTAAGAGACTGATCCCTATTTATTTTGTTTATATTTCTGTCTAGTTATAAATTTATTTATTTATTTATTCATTCATGTATCATATATCATGTCAAAATATGGTTAGCATCCTTGCTTTGCTTGACTTTTGAACCGTTAGTTTAAGAATTTCAATTGAGAAATTCCACTTTTGATACTTGTTTTTGTATTTTTCCTTTTCTTCCTCTCTCAGGCATACGATCTTACCCGGTTTCTGAGTTCTTTCTATTTCAAGGGTTACAGTTCCCTTACGAAAATCCAACGACTTGAGTGGAACAACAGGTGAAAGTGAACCACTTTTCAGAAAGTACTTAATTTTTATTTCTTTATTTACTGTCTATTCACATTATTTTTGGGGCCTTTGTGCAGGGGAATGTCTAGTGCCCATGCTATTTTCATCACCTTTATGTCAGTATATTTAGTGTTCTTCTCAGACCTCTTCTCAGATGACATTTCTAAGGGACCTATTACGTTTAGAAGCTCAAATCTATCCACTTTTACATTAGGGGTAATGTTAGTTATTTTATGGTGTTAACCCATAAAAATTTCCCTTTCTTCTATGAAGTTCAACTTGATCATCCTTTATATCTAATGATTGAAGTATCATATTTGTAGGTTTCTGTTGGATATTTTATCTCGGATCTAGCAATGATATTTTGGTTATATCCATCTCTTGGTGGATTGGAATATGTAAGCATTTATATTAACTATTTTATTTTTTGCATTATTTATTGACAAAAAAAAAAGAACTGATAGTTGGTTCACAACTTTGTGTGTATGACTTAAACTTTCTTGATTTTCGTATTTTCAATCATTTTCTACGATCCAAAATAAAGAATTTATGATTTTGTTTGCATTATACAATCTTTGATTAGGATCCTTTTTGCTCAGATTGTCCATCACGCCCTTTCTTTATGTGCTATATCCTATGCCATGTTGACCGGAGAAGCACAGTTGTACACTTATATGGTATTGATTTCCGAGGCAACTACCCCTGGCATTAATGTGCGATGGTAATGTTGGTATATATTCAATTAGGAACATAGATAAGTTTCAGATCTTCTTGCATCTCTCTTTGGCTTACCTCTTTCTCCTTGTTTTTGTCAAGGTACCTGGACACTGCTGGAATGAAGAGATCCAGTGCCTACCTGGTGAATGGGGTTGTTGTATTTTTTGCATGGCTGGTAACTAGAAGATATCTCTGCTTCTGTTATATTAATGTTTTTAGGTCAACTAAAGGCATCACCTACACTGTTATGAAGGTTCATTTGAATATTTAATGCCTGCTGCTCTTTTTCATTAGAAGCACCACTACCTATGGTAGCTGATAAGCTCATTAGATATGCCCACTTAACCATTTCAAGTTGCCTTCATTCCAACAGCAGCTGTTTAGAGCCTATCTAATATCCAGCTAGTTCATATTTATGTTTATTCAACTTCAATCATAATTATAGGCATATTCAAGTAAAGCTGATTGACACTTTGACCCTATCTAAATAATATTTAGTTCAGTTTAGGAACAAAAACTTTGAAAGATTCAGAGTCTCCAAACTACTGAAATTGCTCCACCGTATGCTTCATCTTTAAAGAGCCATAAAAATTGATCTTCCACAGCTCTATTTGAATTTCAATGATTGACAAGCACGCTTTTTTTTTAAAGAAGAAGAAAAAAAAAAAAATACTGCAAGCAATTTTTCTTAAAATTTGAACTGTTAGACAACTTGATGTGATCACAAAAAAATTGTTTGATCAAACACAATTTTAAAATTAAAATTATGAATTTCAAAGCACTCAAAACACAAACCAACAAGCTTTGAAAATCAATTGAAGAACCAAGCTTACCTTATAAATTTATAATTGAAACAAATGTCTAATTGCGACAATTCCAACAAAACTGAAATCATGCAAATATATGCATGCTTGGACCTTGGACCAACTAAATCGAGCCGAGGCACCCCTCCTCCTTAGGTCTATCACTTCCCTCTACTGCTCAAATTCTAGATGCCTCTACAACATGTTTTTGTTAATCTTGAACTATGACATCATTACTCTGTCAATTTTCATTTTGGTTTGACATTTTACCCCTATAGATGGGTTAATTTTCATTTATGTATTAATATAAATGCATGAGTACATTATGAAATGCACAGCTTGAGTCAATCTCTCACCTTATTCTAATCAGGCATATGTGAAATCAACCTATTACTTTGTGATAATCCACATTATCATTCTCCTCAATCAACTAAATCATTGATTTGATACCAATTTCAACATGCCTCACCATATTCATCGTCTGAGGTGAGGTAAGGTAAAGGGTGAAACTTCCAAAATAATAACCAATCACCACATCAATCACATATTTCATTGCTGGAATTAATAGTATTGTTGAGGGGGAAAAATGGTGATGATGTGAAGATGTTCTTATGATATAAGAGATTTCATAAGAAGAGCTAAAAGAAGAGATACATTGAGATAAGGCCAATAAATCTTATCTCAACTTATATAAAATTTTCATGAGAAATCATATCTTTAAGCCGAATCTAGTGGAGAATTTGGGTTGATTAATCTACTTTAAAATAACTTTAATTGTCTATTTACTTTTAATTTTGTCGCCAATATTTTTTTATTGTGGGCTTTAGTAATAGCTTGTGCAACAATATCTGTAAAATACTTTATAATTTTAGGTCTAACATGTCCTTCCAACCCTGGAGTTGCTCTAGATGCCTCTGCAACATTTTGTTGTTTATCTTGAATCGTGGCTTCATTACTCTATCAATTTTTTGCCATGGCCTGCCATTTTACTCCTGCAGATGGGTTTTCATTTATGCCTTAATAAGAATGCATAAGTTCATTCATAATCATGAAATGCAAAGTTCGGGCAATCTCTCACTCTACTTCTAATCACTTATCAATGAGATCAATATATTACATTGTGATAATCCCCTCTATCATTCTGCCTAATCAACTAAATCTTTGCTCTGACACCAATTTCTGCACGCCACACTCCAATTCATTCCATCATAATGAGGTGCGACAAAAAGTAAAACTTTCAAATCATGACCAATCATCACATCAAGCATATATTCCATTGCTAGAATAAATATTACATCATCAATCCACATCAAAGACAAATATGAAGACGTAAAATCCATTAGAAAAACTTCCACAATATGTCACAGCTCATATTTAACTACCTTTAGGCTTCCAAATGCATATCCCTCATTACATCATTGTGTACAATTGAAATCAAACCGTAACATATTACTTTATTGGTCAACGATTATATAAAACCATATTTTTCTCCTCTCCAACACCTTTAGTGCAGGTATGTACAACGGTGAACATAAAACATGGTAAAAAACTAATGCTCTAGCATAGTTTTTTTTTCACGGTGAGTAAAGCAATATGCATGATCATGTACCATTTTTTCTCAACTTCTTCATTGAACACATTTAGAGTAAATAACTGGTCATATACTAGGAAAATATCACCAATCCTATGTATCAAAAATGTTATGAAGGTAAATAATATATGAATTACAAGTGAGTGTCATAAGTCATGTACATTTATAATGCTATGCTACATCATGACTAAGGCTTCGTTTAGAATGGCTTTTTTACTGCTTCTTAAAGCAGCTTTCATGTACAAAAATTTTAACTTTTGTACTAAAAGCTGTTTTAAGAAGCAGTCTGAAAGCAGTCCCAAATGAAGCCTAAGTCATTCTTCCTATGTTCATATGAACATAATCATATTATGCTTGAGTTGTTAATCATAGTCATAAACAATTGCATGTAGAGTTATATATATGTAGGAATTATGATAGTGTCATAAGATCAAATCATGAATACCATGTAGGGAGAAAAAAACATTCTGAATTTCTCAACAGTCGAAGGTCATGACATAGACATAAACATACATCATAACCACATCATTCATCATTCATAGATCTAGAGCATAAATTATATCGAGAAAGAGAATAGTAAGTTTCTATTCCCGTTGATCCTAGGCTAAATATCTGTTTTTCGTTTCTGAATTTTCTCTTGGTTGAGTTGCAGTAAGCTTCTGAAAATTTGGTGATCAAAATGTGGACTAACTTTTCTTAAGAGGAATTGTCTGCTATGTTCAGGTCGCAAGGATCATTTTATTCCTGTACCTCTTTTATCATGTCTATCTTCATTGTGACCAGGTAAGACTTCTTCCATTCTCCAACTCTCTGCATATTAAATTATGGATAACTTTTACTCGAATGCTTCATGCACTTAAAACAGGTCATGCAGATGCATATAATGGGTTATCTCCTAGTATTTATGGTGCCATCAGTTCTAGCCATTATGAACTTGATGTGGTTTGGGAAGATCATCAAAGGCCTCAGGAAAACTTTGGCCAAGAGACAGTGAAAATCATATGCTACTTTTGACGTAAATCACTGAGTATATTCTTCCCTTTCTTCCCCTTATAAAATTACAGCAAGTAAGCTAAGAAGGAAATGTAAAAGGAATGCAAAGAGGCAAAGTAGCACCTCAGCACTAGGATCAGTATGGTATTGAGATCTCTCCTTTTTTGCTATTCTTCACATGTAACATATAAACTTGATAGCATATGCAACATATATCGTTTCCAATTTTATGATTATAATAGCATCACTGTAACAGTAGTTATAATTTCCCACTTGAATGAAGAGGGGTCCTTTTTCAACAAAATGTTTTTCTATGATGATCTAATCGTTCATAAAATATTTTCAAATTTTGAATATTTGCATCATTTAAGTATTATATTTTTTGCAAGTTTTTGTAGGTCATTATGAAGAAGAGTTGTTAGTCCTTGAATTTATGCGCCTGTGAATCAGATTTGATACACTAGTCAGTATTTTTTTCTGGAAAAAAAAGAGTTGAGTGTATATAGATTAGAAATCAGTTGATCATAGTTATTATATTAATGTCTTGTACTTTTTATCAAATGCATCTTTTTAATTATTTTTCTTGCATTTCTGATAATTTTGATGCAAATTTATATCCTGTGCTTCTGAATTAATTTTTTTCCCATTTTTTTGCGTTTGGTAATGGGCTAATTTCACATATGAGAAAGCAAATATATATTCTCTTCTCAAAAGAGCTATACCATTTAATGTGAAAAAGTTTACAGAGTCAATGAAGTATGTTGTAATTATTCGGGAAAAAATTCAACCAATAAGAAAATGGTTTTCTTTCTCGGAATAGATTGATTTTTAAATATCCCCTTCACTAATTTGTTCTCTATTTTCTTGGCTAAAATTTTACCCCGATTTGTTCTTAGAGATAGGATACGAAATGAGCATATACGTGAAAAGGTTGGAGTAGTTCCAATGGAAGATAATATTAGAGCCTTAGATGATTTGGTCACATAAAACGGCAACCTTCTGATAACCCAGTTAGAAAAGTCGAGGTATTAGATTTGACTTGACTTATGTTAAAAAAGGTAGAGGTAGATCTAAAAAGATTTGGTTAGAAAATACTAGAAATGATATTTTTTTATTAGATTTAAACGAGAATTTGACTTTTAACAGGACAAAATGACGAAAAAGGATTCATGTAGTTGACCTCACGTAGTGGGACAAAGGCTTGATGTTATTGTTATTCTTAAGCAATGTGTTAAAAATTAGATAATAAAATGAATTAATTAATTTATAATAGAGGTTATTAGGTTTATTCATGCAGGATTTACTATTATTTGAATACTAAGCTAAACTGATTAATTGGCCTTTTAAAAACTAAGATTACATAGCCCGTTAGTCATTGATACTTAAAAAATGAAAAAATTCTGACAGGTATTTAACGGTCAAGAAAATACTCAACTAAACATGTTAAATTAGCATAAGATTTACATACATGAAAAAACTATAGTTTTAAAGTTTTTCTTCCTCGACAGTTTGCTAAGTTTAAATACTTTTGATGTAATGATGAAAAGATCATTATCATTTGCCATGCAGAGCCCATCATAATCAAAACAAAAGCATTTGTGAAGTTTCTGATGAAGTTTCTTGTCAGAAGGGGTAATTATATGCCATTTGTCTTTTGTCACTAATTAATTTATAGATATTTAACTATAAAAGAACATAAGACATACAACAGAAAATGTAAGATGAATGAAAGATGCATAAAATTTATAAGATAGTTTTAGTCCTTACAACAACAACAACAACATCAAGCCTTCGTCCTACTACGTGGGATCGGCTACATGAATCTTTTTTCTCTATTGTGTCCTGTTAAAAGTCAAATTATCGTTTAAATCTAATAAAGAAAGATAATTTCTAATATTTTCTAACCAAGTCTTTTTAGGTCTACCTCTACCTTTCTTAAGATAAGTCAAATCTAATACCGCTACTTTCCTAACTTGGTCATCGCAAGGCCGCCATTTTATGTGACCAAACCATCTAAGACGACTCTCTCTAATCTTATCTTCCACTGGCGCTACTCCAACCTTTTCACGTATATGCTAATTTCATATCCTATCTCTAAGGGTAAAGCCACTCATCCACCTGAGTATTCTCATCTTTGTAACACTTGACGTAGTATTATGCTTCTCTTTTAATGGCCAATATTCGGCACCATAAATCATTGCAAGTTTCACCACCATCTAATAGAATTTTCCCTTAAGTTTGAGGGGGATTAGCCAACAATAAATAACTAAGCTTGTGATTAGTCTGAATATTCTAAAAATATGAGATGTTTAGTACATAATTACTAGACAAACTCTTAAATATACAGAACATATGAATAAATTTATAGAAGAAGTCTAATACAGAACTTGTGAGATGTAATCATATAATTGCCACTCCTTTAGAAAAAAACTCTGAAATTGTTACCTTTCTCAGCACCATTTGGCAGAAACACTGAATTAAATTAATGACAACGGAGAACTAAGGAGAGTAAACAAGCAAATTTTATTAGATTCAATTTTGTGGCTCAGATCTGTGCAGACATAATGGAAGACATAGTTTTCTTGCCTACTATTAGGAATTAAAAGCGGTATTTTCTACATCTGCTCACAACAAGCAATAGTTCTTTAAAATAAAAAACCTAAAACTCCATCTTAGTTGCAGTTTAAGGTTTCATTTGAACATGACTTTTCAGTACAAAATTTTCTAGTCCAAAAAATTTGTGTAAGTCTAAAAAAACAATAAGAAAGTTATCCCAAACAAAGCCTAAGTCTCTCACATAAGTTTTAGCTTGAGATCTTGATAATTTTGTTTTTGCTTGTCTTTTGATTGTTTTTAAAAATTTTATTTATTAGATGTAAATTTAATCTATTTTTTTAATTCAGAAGTATTTAATACTATATTTTGTTGTTGAGTTCTGGTAAATTCATGGTGATTGAGACTAAGAGTTATATCTTAGCATGTACAAATATTCCTTTAACACATAGCATAGAGAGATGAGGTTGCATGGAGGCATGGAGCCATGCATGTAACATATTTTCTTACCTGAAAACTTTGAAGAATGAAAAAGAATGGGATTTTGGTCCACTCAAAATAGATTCAGCAACAAAATAAAAGCTTAAATTGATATACCATAACCCTTTAATAAGACTTGCTCACTGTATTCTGAAGATAATTTTGAGATATTTGTAACTCTGTGGCTTATGGATTGATGAACTGATATGAAATGAAATGCTTGATCTTTCTGTAAGTTCTGGTTCTTGTGTCATCCATAGTAATATATGAATTATGTTAGAGAGATTGTTACACTTTTGTCCCCATTTAATTACTTTCACACTCTATAATTAGTGACATTAAACTTGGTGATTTTTCTAAAATTGAGCAGTTTATGTGATTGTTGGCTCCCATAAGACTTGTAATCTTATGCCATGATTGACTCGGGTTCAAAACCTATTGATTCTAACGTGACAACATATGATTGAGTGGAGTCTTAGGCTTTGTTTATGATGACTTTCTTACTGCTTCGTAAAGCAGCTTTATAGTATAATTTTTTTTGCTAGAAAACTGTTTTAAGAAGCAGTAAGAAAGTCGTCCCAAACGAAACCTCAGTGTGTGATCATGGGCGGATCCCCATTGACTTGAGGGGGGGCAAATGCCCCCCTCAATTTTTTTTTTACATTTTAAAGGGTATAGTTTGGAATATTTTTGATATTTTAGGTATTTTGCCCCCTCTAAAAAAAAATTTTTGCCCTCATTTTATCAATCCTAAGCATTTTTGCCCATCTCTCATCCAAAAATTTTTTTTGCCCACCCTTAAAAAAGAAGCTGGATCCGCCCCTGTGTGTGATAAATGATGATACCGAAGTACTTGATGTGCTTAAATGCTCGATGATAAAGTTTAGAGGAAGCCATTACAAACACGGAAAACTTTTACATGAGGGTGATATTATTAAGGCACATGAGAGAATATTTAGGCATATGAAAGCATCAAGCTAAGTGCCATTTAATATTTTAGTAAAATATATTAGGATAGACATAGCAAATAGTTGGCCTTCATTTAAATAATGCTGCTTAGATTATCTTATTCTCTAAGAAAAATAATCATAAAGTTTGTATATATATATATATCCTCTTCCATATAAGATAATCTTGTTGGTATGACTCAAGCACGGCGTAACTCATTTACATCCCTATCATTAGTTTATGACTTTTTGAGTAAAACAAGCAATAATATTTATAATAATTATGATCTAAACAAGATAATAAATTTTGAATATATATTAATAAAATATAAAACTCACTGAGGTGATATAAAATTCATAAAAATAATATTTTATTTATAAATATATGATTGTTTTAATTTTAATAAAACTAATTCCCATGAAAAGAAGATAATGAAATTATGATATAAATTATATATTTTTTGTCTATACTGTGACCTCTTTTTCCTCATAAAGACAGCCTGTTTGATATCTTCTCATGCAATTAAAAAAAATTTTAATCCCTTCAATGAAAAATGTGTAAATAAATTATGATAAAAAATAAATTAACTGAAACTTCTCTTTCCATACCAACTAAAGTATTTGAACTGCTCAAATATTTTCTCTGGGAAAAAAATAAAAGTGGCATTAGGCTGCAAAGTACAGTATAATTATAAATTTTCACTTCCAACCCTGAAATTTTGATGATCACATACAATTTAAGGCTTTATTTGGAAATGTTTTTATTTGTTTTGGTCATTTGGATTTGATTTATTTTATATTTTTTTTTCATATGTTTGTTCACTTAAAATATAAAAAAATATTTGCATGATGAAGTATTTATTTCCTAATTAAATATCTAATTATTCTATGTAAAATGTTTAAATAAAAATTAATCGAAATTATCAGAATTTATTAAATATTTTAGCTTATTAATGTTTCAGTTAATTAGGCATCTAAATAAACTAAATATTAATTATCCTGATTAAAATCATAATTAATTTACAATTAAGCACAAAAGTAGTTAATTATAATTTAGTATATTTAATTAATGAATTATTTATTTGTATTATACTGACCTATCATTAAATACTACTAAATTTACAAATTACAAAAATACCTAATACTATTAAAGAAATGTTTAACTTCAGGGTCAATAATTACTCACCTTAATATTATCATAAATCAGCCATAGAACATAAATGGTCTTAAATGCTTATATAAATTCATGAAATAAAAAATTAATGTAGCTTAAAATTTATGAGCGATTTACATATATGCCACATAATTCATATATATTTAAGTATTTAATATCTAATTTCAATATTTATTTATATAACATCAAAATATTCAAATCACATAAAAATATCATGAATATTAATTATTAAAAAGTGAATATACTTCTCATGAATATATTTTGATATGATTAAAATAATAAAACTTCATACAACTAAGTATTAAAATTTAATTTTTTTACATATAAATACATAAAAATTATATAATATGCATATAAAACTTCTTAAATTTGCGCCTCTCTCTCTAAGATTTGAAACCTATAAAATAATGATGATAAAGTTGGGTTGGTAGGTGAGTGTGGTTGGGAACCCCTAACGTACATTCGATTCCTCTCTTAAGATGTGTAACTTCTTAAGTGGATTAATTATTCTGTGTAGATGCTGAATGTCGTACGGAGACCAAACAGAATGCGCCACGTCACCCTTTGCTTGATATCACAGCTCGATACTATTGACGTGATGCATTCTAATTGATTTCTGGACGGTGTCCTGTGTCCAGTCTCCGCACAATAATTTATTTCTAAAAGTGAGGACAAAATAAGTGCATGGTCCGGCACCTGTGGGGATGATTGTCGTTAAACTCGTCAATGAATTAGTTACTCCGCTAAACGTCTCCTTTACGGGATGACAACGGGTAGATACCCAATTCCAAAAAAAAAATCTTTCAATATATTTTTAATGATTAAAATATATATTTTTTTCCTCAAAAGTTTTGATTTTTTTAATTGATGAAAATGGAGATTCCTAGCCTTTTCCATTCTCCCTCTTAAAGTAACCAATATTTGCTTGAGTAACCCAATCTCCAATATTAAAGTCTCCTCGCCAAATTCAGACTTTAATGCGTGTTATTCTTTCTTGCCTGACCACCGCAAAGCTATTGCTTAACGTTGGCGACGAAGTTATCGCATAAAATGTCGAGTGAAATGGACGGTTTTGATTCACCGATTGACCCGGATTGAGTGTCCGAAACCCTAAGATGGAGTCGGTTGCGGATAGAATATATACTCCCGAACTTCGTTTCCGCCACGACGTTTGAGAATTCGGGCACGAGTTACGTCTGCCTGAGTGAGGAGAGAGGAAAGGGAAATCGGACGATTGATTGAGATAAGTGGGCAAAGGAGAGAGAGAAGGAATAGAGATTAAGAGGTGGAGAAGCTTGTGGGAGAGAGATTGGGACTGTGGATTCGAAGGTATTACCTTTTTTTTAACAATCTGAGCGTAGCTTCGAATTCCCGATAAATCCTCCGATCGATTTGATGTTTTGCGATATCGGTGGTGTTGAGTAAATGACAGTTTTTATGTTGGTATCGGAGCCCTAGGGGCTTCTTCAGATTCTTGTTTGATTATTGCTGCTTATGAGATTGGTTGGTTATGAAATGGAAAGATTAGGTTTTGCGCAGATGGTTTCTGCGGGCTCATTGGATGGTGGGTTGTTCGGGAAAGTCGGAGCAGATGCGTGATTAATGAAGTTTAGACATGCATTCAAGGATGGGACTTGGGAGTGCTTTGGAACGTTGTCTGGGTTGACCTCTGATAAGATCGGCTTCGTTATGCCGCTCAAGTGACTTTTTAAGATAATTGGTGGTTGTGTCGTGAACCTAGGTTGCATATGGGAGGAATGAAGCCAGAAATAAATGATTTATCGATAGGGAGAAGGCTGAGGTCTATCAGAACTTCGGAGTGTGTTGAAGAATGGTGTCAGTTGCAACTAGTTAGAACTTTCGGACATATCTAACTTATAAGGGGGGAATGCTTTTTTACTGCTTCTTAACTGCTTCTTAAAACGGCTTTTTAGTTAAAAAATTAAATTTTTTGTACTAGTAAACTGCTCTAAGAAGCAGTAAAAAAGCTGTCCCAAACGAAACATAAATCCATCAGCATGTTTATAATAGGGAGACTAAAAGATAAATCCTTATTAGCAGAGACTTATTAGTCTAGTTTCCTTTTGTATATTAGTGTTAAAGACAACATAAGATAATGCGAGCCAGTTTAGAGGAATTTACTCCTGAAGCAAAATTGACAGAAAAAGATCTGGTTTACTTGGGGATGCTTGGGCTCAGTAGTTTCGGATATTATATTTTTGGCAATAATGCCACCTTTTTTATTGGCGTGATGATGAACATTTGTGTTTATTTGCAAGTATTGTCAGTTTATCAGTCACATGTGTTGCATTTCAATTTTCATTACTTTGGAATATGAATTTCACAATGAAACTAGAAAGAAAACAGAAAATAGTCTCATGATTCATTTGGTAGTTTGCATTAACGTTGCTTATGACTAAAAACAACACCTGCATCTTTCTTATGTTAAAATAATGGCTGTTGTAATCTTTACTTGCAATACTTCACACATTTTGCAGTCTAAGGTTATTGCCAGCAGACATCAATAAAAATGTTAATTTTGTGCATTAAGCACTCAAATGTATCATTGCACAAATAGATTAGCTGGATTTCACTTTCCATGAATGTAAATGCTACTGCACTAGGGATATTGTAAAGTCAGCTTCCATATTAACGTTGGACTGACTTGGAGGAATCTTTACTTTACCTTCGCCTCTAGCTTCGCCCTCACTGAACCAAAATCCTTAGAGACTTTGGATTAGGCTTTGGAGTTTAGGATTGGGCCTGGTAGTATCATAACATATGTGGTTGATTTCAAGTGGCTCAGGCCTCCTTTCAACCTTATAATTGAGTCAGGGGTGTATGAGATCCATACTAATTTGTTTGAAGTAAGTTTTATTTGATTAGATGGGTTTCTGGGTAACACCATATCAATGTGATATTGCATTTTTTTTTCTTTTGTAATTTTGTTTGAATTAACCATCATGTTCTTGTACTACTGTAATTTTTGGCTTTTGCTTTCTGCACGCTACATCTTTCCTCTGAGTAAATAAACACGAGACAGAAGCTATTGAGTTTGTTAGTATGCAACATCTTTTTTCTTAAATATTTATTTATTTTTAATTGGAAACTGCTGTCATTTTTGAAAATTTTTGATTCTGAAAATGTATCTCCCCCATTTGAAAAAGATGAATTGGCTAAAATTAGTGTCAATTATATTCTTCTTACTTAGAAGGAAATAAAGATCTTCATGCAAAGTTTGTTAGATGATTCTAGGAGAGAGTTTTACGATACAACATAGAATAGAATAGTTGTTTTGGATTTATCTTAAGAGTGTGAAGAAAAAATATAAAATTTTTTCCTGAGATACAATGTTGGAATTTGTAAGTTGAGGATTTGTTAGACTTGTTAATGTATTAAGATAACTTTCTATGGGGGGAAAGTTGAAATTTTTAGATGAGCTAAGCTTGATGTGGGATAAGATGGCCAGTTCAATTAAGCGGATTGTAGTAGAAATTATAGGAGAGTTTAGAAATAAATGATACTCTCATAGGAAGATTTGGTGGTGGAGTAAGAATGTCCAATTGTTACTAAGGAAAAAAGAGCTTTTTAAGTGTGACAAATGTTGAATACTATACTATTGAGTCTTATATTGATCATAAGAAGGCTAGAAGTCATGTAAAGAATGTTGTGAGTAAAGAAAATGCTTTTGATGATTGATGATTCATATAATAGGCTTGGTGCACAGGAAGGATAATAAGGGAATATATATAATAGCTAAGGCAAGATATAACATATCTAGAGACTTTGTTCAAGTTAGATGAATTAGAAGTAAATATAATAGGTTCTTGGTTAAAGTTGAAGATATCAAAGAAAGATGAAAATATTACTTTGAAAAATTGTTAAATGAGAGCTTTAAGGAATAAATTATTTTGAGAAAGCATAATGAACAAGGTAATCAAGTATATTATAGATTTATCCAGAGAAATGAAATGGAGTTAGCCCTCAAGAAAAAATGTAAAGATAAAATTGTAGGTTCATATGAGATACATATTGAAATTTGGAGAGTTATGGGGATATTATAGTGATTTGGTTAATAAATGGTTTTAATAAAACTTAAGAGGATGCCAAATGATCGAAGAAGTATTTTGATGCCAATATTTATTATTAAAGATGATGCTCAAGAGTATGGTTTTTCTTTTTTTTTTGCTCAAGAGTATGGTAATTTAAAGGAATGAAACTTATGATTCATACAAATGGAACATAAGCCTAGAAAAAATATTTAGTTTTGAAGAACCAATTCAGTTTTATTCTAGGAAGATGTACTATAGAAGTGATTTTGGTTCTAAGATAATTAATATAAAAGCATATAGAACAAAGAATAATCTTCGTATGATTGTTATTTATTTTGAGAAATCATTTTATTGAGTATTATGCTAATTGATTTAATGCACATTAAGAAAAAACTTGTCAAAATTATATTGACTTTATTGAAGATATATACTTTGTTGTTCTTGGGCAATAAAAAGCTCATTGATATCCATATTGAGCTTGTCATAAATATGAATATTAAGATGGATATGCGGACAAACTAGGAATGATAAATAATGAATTATTATATTAGAACGGTTTCATTGACATTTATTGAATATAAGGTCATTGAATGTTGATTTCGGTGGTTTGGATGTATTATAAATGGTTTGGCCATTAAAAGAAAAACATAAAATTAAGTTAAGTGTTGCGGAGGTGAGGATGCTCAAGTGGATGAGTGGATTTACACTTAGATACAAAATGCGAAATGAGTATATGGGGGAAAGTTGGAGTAGCTCTATTGGTAGATAATAATATTAGAGAGAGTCTCTTTAGAAGGTTTGGTCACATAGAACCGGCCTTCTGATGATCCTGTTAGGAGAGTTGGATGCATTAGATATGACCTATGTTAAAAAAGATAGAGGTAGGCTTAAAAAGACTTGGTTAGAAAGTATTAAACATAACATTTTTTAAATAGATTTAAATGAGAATTTGTCTAGCTGATCCCACGTGGTGATATAAAGGCTTGTTGTTGTTGCTGCGATTGGATGTACAATAAATGGTAAAAAATGCACCAACATATGGGTACATACAATTAGTTACATGTATAGAAATTGTTCAAAATGTTATGCAAGGAATATGTTTAATTACATGTGCAAAACTCAATGGAAATCAATGTAAAATGAAGTGTCATGATGCTGATTACAAATAGTTGGGTTAAGGCTAACGTTGATGATGGAGAGGATGATTTGAATTACCAATTTTTAGCATATAGCCCCTTCTTTTTCATGTCTAAAGCTAAAACATGAAATTATACAGAAACACTTACTAGTTTTTCATTCTATCATTTTTATTCCACATCAATTTTATTGTTTATGGTACTTAGGTAATGGCATTGTTATCTAATGAAATTTAATAATTATGGAGGCCTCAAAAAGCGGCATGAAAAAGAATGTTAAGTTGAATGCATAAAAAACTAGGAATGATAAATTAAGGAATGGTTATATGAGGAAAATAATTTAATCATATTTATTTAATATAATGTAATTGAAAATAGATTTATGTGGTTTGGACCTGTACAATGAATGGTAGTTAATCCTTCTAGTAGACAAGTTAATAAAAATGGTTGTATATGATTAAGAAGGGGTAGAACTAAGGTTACATTGATAGAAGGCGTTGAAAATGATTTGCGAATAATAGGCTCAACACATTCAACATCCCTGAATAGTAACAATGGAAAGTGAGGATTCATGATGACAACCCTGAATAATTGGTTTAAGGCTAATGATGATTATGATTTGGATTGACATTTTTTAGCCATTATTCTCTTCTTTAATTAAAACATGAAACTATATCTGAGCATCCACTATTTTGTCATTCTACTATTTTCATGTGAGGTATTATTTCTTAGCGCACATTATACTTGGTAGTCACATTGTTATCCAATGAGAGTATATATCTAGAGATGACTCACGTAGTGACACTAATTAAATCCCTATATGTCCCATCTATAAGGGATATACCATCTCCTTTTGGCTCATATAATTAAGATTATTTGTCATCTTTAAATGGAATTGTATGGATCGTGCTTAGTTTTGGCTGGAATATTCTTTACTAAAGTTGCTGTTTGCAAGTCTTCCGTTTTGGAATTGCCTACTGTTCTCCAAGCACTATTTGGCGTCTTTGTTTTCTTGGAATTTTTGTTGTCAAAATCTCTTGTTTGCCATTTATTTTTATTATTTCTATTTATTGAATTTCTTTCTTCTCTTGATTGTAAAATATATCAAACTACTATGGCATTATGTTGATGTTATTTTGTCTATCTTGTTATGGGCTTAGTTCTGTGCTCTATCTGGCCTTGAGACAAATATTTCAAGTTAGTCTATTTTCAGTGTTGAAACAGTGGATTTTTCCGTTGTCTTCAATATTGTTCTATTTCTCAAATTTGCATTTTTCTTTTTGCAGGTTTATGCTTCTTGTCAACTGGCTGTTGTTGGACATTTCTCGATGACCTGCTTCATGTGGCTTTTGCCTTTTATTTCTGTTTAGATTTTGGCTTCCGTTGTCATTGTGTATCTTGGGAAACTTTTGTTAAGATATATCTTGCTGTATATATGTATACAATGCAACCACCAGTGGTAAAAGCATGTATTTCACCTCCCAACCTTGTTCTATGATACTATTTTTCATGTGAAACAAGTAAATATTAGGTTTGCACTTTGCACTCTGTGTTACTGACTCTGTGACAGCAATATATGGGCGATTTGTAGATGTAAATTCCATTTCTTTGGAGCCAAGAATCAACTGACGTGATTAATCCCCAAGTGTCCCACAATTGAATATTTGGCAACTTTTGCTTATAAATGGAGGGCTTAGCACAACTGGAAGCCTTGTGTGAAAGGCTTTATAATTCTCAGGACTCAGCTGAACGAGCGCATGCAGAAACCACTTTGAAATGTTTTTCTATGAACGCTGAATACATTTCGCAGTGCCAATACATACTGGACAATGCACTTACTCCTTATGCTTTGATGTTGGCTAGTTCAAGCCTTTTGAAGCAAGTAACAGAACACAGTCTTTCTTTGCAGCTGCGACTTGATATCCGTAATATTCTTGTTCTGGTCATATATGCGTCTATGTGTATGCACAGTTGGTTTTCTCATATAACGGCAATGAGGATTTTCTAATTTTGTGACCTGCTCTTTTTTTGTGTTTCTTGTTTAAATATTTATGCTGTATAATTTAGTGATTCTTTTCAGTTGTATTCCTTCGTTTTGAGGTCTTGATTTTTTTGATGTGCTATTTTTTTTATTCATATTGCAATATCTATTTCATTACCTGCTTTTATCATCCTTTTCAATTTGATTGAAATGTATTAGATCCAGGATAATCCTGATGTAGCTATTGGTTTTATTGACCTCAAACTGGTTTACACAAGAAAACAAGTCCAATATGTTATTATTTTCTTTAATAAGACTAGATATATCTTGAATTAATCTGTCTGTGATTTGTGTGAAGGGAATTACGTGATAAGCTATCTTGCGACCAGAGGACCTGAATTGCAGAATTTTGTAACTGGATCTCTGATTCAACTTTTATGTCGAATTACAAAATTTGGTTGGTTTGATGATGACAGATTCCGAGAGGTTGTGAAAGATGCTACAGGTTTCTTGAGTCAGGTGATTTCTTTTATATGTTAAAATGGATGTTATCTTGTTCATTTAATGCCATTGATTTGTATCATTTATTATTAAAGATCTTAATTTTAGTAGTTGGCTTCTTTCTTAGAATTTTTCTGCTGAATGTGCAGGTGAATGTACGAGTGAAGGTTTTGTTTGTGATGGCCTCTTAATTTTGTTATTGCTAATAACTCCTACTTTTGTTATTTCTGACTTCTCGATATCACCTTCATTAGCATGTTTATATTATCACGTCGCTACAATCATCACCAATTATGTACTTTTGCTAATTACTTTATTCTTTTATGAATTTCAAACTTGGTGCAGTGCAAGTTTTATAAAAGTCTGTGCGCACAGTGCAGTGACTGCAGTCATGATGGTGGGGCATGGGTTTGACTTTAGAAGATAATAGTGTGTATTAAAATCTTGAAAACAATCTATATTCCTTGACTTAATGTTCCAGAGAATCTCAACTTTAGCTTTATCCGTCATCTCGAAGTTCATTCAGAATCTGCTTAGTGGAAAGATTTTTTTATTAATCGTCACAAAGTTATCTGCCAGTTTTTTGTACTTCAGATACCATTTTACATAAATACGGACCATTCTTTATATTTTTATATCCCTGATGCATTCCATTTGTTGACAACAAATTTTTTCTTGTTTATTTCAAATTTTTACTTCAAAAAATTGTTGAGATCCTTTATCTGCTGAAAGTGAAATATGGAATTTGATATGAAATAGTTTAGAATTTATGTTTCATACCGATAGGAAACAATTGTAGATCTCAAGTATTTCCTTTCAATCTTAGGAAAACAATAAGAATTCTCCACAAAAATCCGCACAAAACCACGAAAACAGACCGGTCTAACACATGCTTCTTAATTATTATTGATAATTCAAGAAGGTATGTACACCATCTTGATGAGATTTCAACTTGGTGTGTACTAAAAATAAAAAGAAAATAAACTTTCTGTGAACTAACACAAATGCATGTGTGAAACAATGTAAAAGCTATTTAAATTTGTTGGTAGTTTTAAAGTCTTGGTTGTAGTGTATTTTCTTCATTAAAGATTGTTCTCATGCCATTGACTTGATTGTAACTTGGAAATTTGGCCGATGGTTGAGTAAGGAGAAAACGACTGAATTATAGAACTTGTGAATTATATGTTCCTTGTTGCTATTGATATTTTCTACATGTTAAAGATAGAATGATTTACTATTTTTGTTTAAATTATCGGAAAAGGAAACTTTATTCTGTTATAAACGAGGCTGTGAATGTGTTAATCTAAACTATATCCAATTGCGAAGATTTTGTCTGTCATCTTTCTTTTATTTTCGTTATCTTTTCTGTCTTGCACTTTTAAATTCTCACCTTACTAAAATTTCTTCTTTGGTCATTTTATAGAACAACTAATATAGTAATGAGTTTGTAGGTAGTTGCTCTCTTTTCTGGCTTGCTAATTTTAGGTGCCCCCCCCCCCCCCCCCCCCTAGATGCTTTAATTTTAATTTGCTCTATGAAGTGACTACATATAAATGCAGTTATTTTTTTTGCTGACTATATTAGAATTGCTCTTTAACATCACCCAAGTGATAAGTGAGTTGTGGATTGTATTTGTACAGTTGCGTGTTATGTGAGTTTATTTGCAATTAAGCTCTTAATTGTGGTATGGCAAAAGGGAACTGCTGGAGCCGTATAGTTAGGGATAGAGTTAAAAGCATCAGGACCCTGTTGGTTGATTAGAAACTTTGTAAGATTCGATTGATATCAAACACAGTTTCGCTTTCAGATTTTACAATCACTGCTATTGGAGCATAATACGGAAGATGACAGCCTAGGTGGAACATTAGCGATTTTCTTTGATTAATGTTTACCGGTATGACATGAGTCAGTTTTCTGAGTTATGTTAGCGTCTGATGATTGTTCTTGGTCAATCTATTCTGTCAATATTTCTCTGAAATTCATTCGTTGCTGTTTAAACCTGTAGGCTCACATAACCGCCTGTTGTTATTTCCACTGCTTAATCAACTCAGTAAATAGCTTGATGGATAGGCCTGCCATCTTACCATATGTTTTATAGTTATTTATTTTGCATAGATTCCACAACATGCATTTTCATGCATTCATTAATATGTTTAACAGAAACAAAACAACACCAATCCCTAAAAGATGAGTGAACCTTCTTGCTTTTTTTGAAATTCTGAGAATATAATTGAATTTTATGTATTTCTATATTATTTAGGTTCCCTTATAGTGTGCTGATCTTACATTAGATGACATATGCATTTTGGTACAATATTATGGGGAAAATATAAGATGAATTCCATGGCAACCAGGAACGCCTAGTCCTATTTTCTTTACGCAGTTATGGAAATAATGAATTTCTGAGAATTTTCATAATCTTGATGATCCTGTGTTATCTAAAGTATGTAAAGATGTTTGTTTGCAAGACGGTGGCTATAAGTATGTTGTAGTGATTTGTTTTTTCGGTCAAATGTTTGTAATGGCGCCCTTTGACATTTTCATTGCACTCTCAATGTTTTTTTTGCTAACTGTTACTATTATTGTCTTACTTGTTAGGCAACGTCTGAACATTACTCCATTGGTTTGAAGATACTGAATCAGCTTGTATCTGAGATGAATCAGGTTTGTTTGACTTTCTGGTCAGTTTTAAACTATATATTAGCTTCATATTGTTTTTTGTTCATCAGATATTTCTCCTGTCATGATGTTTAAATTGATTTCCATAAGGGACATGGACTGATAATGACTAGTGGATTTCGCATAAGAAAATGACCATAATTTCATTAATCAGATTTATCCAACTACCTGAAATTTAGTTTTTTCTACAGCAATCCCTTCTGGAATCTTTGATCTCTTGCACAGGGGCTACACCTGTTTTAAAGCAATCTCAGAAAGGAGAACTATTCTGAGTTTTCTACAGGTAGCACATGCACAGACACGGATGCTGACACGACAAAACAGATACGACATGACATAGACACAAGACATGTCAATTATTGAAAATATAGGACATGAACATGGGTTAGACATGATATTATAGTTTTTATATTTTAAAAATAGTGTATAAAAATTGAATAAGTATAATATTAAAAATAATTTAGAAATAATAAGTCATTTAACTAGAATTTATGCTTAAATTGATTAATATTATGATGTCGAGAGTCGGGTGACGATGTCATTTATCAGTCATCGAGTGTGGAGACAAAAATGCTGTTGAGAGTCAGACATCGATGTTATACAATAAATATCGGGCGTCAATGTTGAGAGGGCATCAAACAAAGATGAGATGTCACGTTTTGGGTGTAGAAGTTGCTAGCGTTGAGCATTAATGTCAAGACAGTGCAGACTTTGATATGGAGATCATTTTGAAATGTTGATATTGTAACGACTTCAGACGTCAATGTTGAGATGACATCGGGCATTGTTGTGAAATCAAAGTCTTAAGTCGCCATAGAGAAAGGAAAACGAGAATATTCGATAAATGGGGTATTGAATGCGGGCGATTGATTTGGTGTTGTGAATAGGAAATAAGAAATTTAGTTTTTATATTTTAAATAAGTAAAAATTTTAAATACAAGAAATTATATTTAAAAAAATTCATAAAATATTTAAGACATGCGTATTAGACATGTGTGTTTAATTTGTATTTAATACAAGGTTTTAAAAGGCGAAATCGGGAATCTAGACGTTTTTTCTAAGCGAGGCGAGGCGGATTGAGGTGTAAGCCTCAAAATGATTAAAATAAATTAATTTAAAATTATAAATAATGACAAAAAATAACAAAATATAATCCCAACTATGAATTTGCAGATTTAGTTTGTTCATTTGATCTGCCGCCAATCGATTTCTTCTCTTTGTATGAATTTGATTGAAGATACTCCAATTATGCTCGCATGCGGAAGCCGAACACGTTAGGCTAAGAACTTTAACTGCAAAAGCTTTCAATTCAGGAACATCTCCAAACTAAGCCCACCAACGTTCTACATGAAGACAAACATAGTATTTTATGAATATTGGTTGAAGTAGAAGACTTGAATATAAATATTAACATTGAAATTATAAATACTAAAACTATAAACATACCAGGAGATTGTGTTTTGAAGCATGCTTGTGCTGCTCTAAATCCAAACGTTCCTATTCCCTTCTTCAAATGAAAATCTTCAAGTTGATCATTCACTTTGAGGTAGTGTTCTTCAGAAATGAGTCTGTCCATATATGCATACAAACCAGTTTTCACCTCTTTGTCAACATGAAAATCCTTATCATAATGAAATTGGGGATTTAGGCTACGTTTGGGACGACGTCTTGGCTGCTTCGCGGCTTAAAACGTACGCCTCCCGCTGTTTGGGACAATGCGTTGGACCGGAGGCCTGAAAATTTTTACGGTGACAACCTATTTTTTGGGACGCGAAATACTTTCCGCGGTTCGCTGCTTTCCGCGGTTCTGATATATTAAAAAGTCGAAAGTAGCCTTCTTGTTTCTGCCGGACCTCCTCTTCCCCTTTGTCCCTCTGTTCGCACAACTCAGGAAGCTATCGTTTCTCCTCTCTCTCTCTCACTGCCGACGTAGACGGAAGCCCCGCCTCCGCCTCTCCTCCATTCGAACCGAGCCAGGACGCCGTCGATCTGCCTCCTCCTATTGATCCTGTCTCTCTTCTCCCTTTTCCTCCTCCTCTTTTTCCCCTTTCTTCTTCACCTTGAGTGGTCTCCCCTCTCAATTGCAAAAAACCACTGAGGCCCCTATCCCAGTTCGTAAGAAGCTCAGGTGAAAACCCCCCATCTCCTCTCCCATCCGTTCCTCCCCTAAGGATTAGGCGTTGAAGTCGACGGCTGGCTTCGATGATATGAGTTTGTCCAGCACAACGTCGAAGCTGAAGACATCGCTGCGGTCTGTGAGCTGTGGGTGAGGTAGCCCAGCGTGCCCTGCGGCGCGGTGGAGATGTGTGTGGAGCCGTCGGGTGGAAATAGGCGGGAGAGGCCAAAGTCGGCAACTTGACATGGAATTCGGTGTCGAGGAGGATGTTTCCAGTCTTCACGTCACGGTGGATGATCGGCGGGTCGATGGTGTGGAGGTAGGTGAGCGTAGTCGCCGTCTCGACGACGATGGAAAGGCGTTGGGAACGAACTCGTAGACGAGGACAAGCTCGCGGCTTCTTGGCGATGTGCAGCCGTATAAGGAGACGAGATTTTGATGACGGACACAAAAGAGGATCACTATCTCGTTGGCAAACTGCTCCACTCGCCTTGAGGAGCCCTTGCTGGTTATTGTGGTAAATTAAAAAAAAGTAGCAAGCTTCTATTTTGATTCAATCATTTTGGATTGCATGAAATTCAATAATTGTTAATATATTAGTTAAAAAAAATTAAATTTGAACAAATTTTATTCATCTTCATATGTGTAAGAGTAACAAGGTAATTTGCTATCAAACAGCAGCAGCACAGCAGTTTGACAGTAATACTACTCAAACAAAATTGATTGATTTATATACAGCAACTTTAAAAAGTAACTTTATGTACAACAATTTTACAACCTGCTTTCCGGACAGCTGTAGCCGTCCCAAACGCACCCTTAAATAGTACGCAGCAGCATGTAAGTGTTGATGTAATTGTCGATCCCACTTTTCATCTATAATATCCTATATTTTTTTGTAGGCACTTTCTTGACCTCCCAATTCTTTTGCAATATCTTCTTTAGCTCTATTCATTGCTTCATAAATAAATCCCATAGCTGGGGCCCTCTCACCATCAACCATTCTGAGCACCTTTACTAATGGTCATGTTGTCTTCAAAGCATAATTTATACTGCGCCAAAATGAATCGTCTTTCACAACAATCTTTTTAACTTGTTTTCCTTCTTATTTTTTGGCCCATGAACTGTTATTCCACTCTTCAGATGCAAACATTGCTTCCAAAGGTTGTCTTAACTCCTTGAATATCTACAATGTTAAATATGCAGTAGCAAATCTTATAACAGCAGGTTTAATAATTTCCTTGTCAGTGAATTTTCTTATCAAGCTGAGTACCCAAGAATGATTGTATATAAACTTACTAACGAATTTGGCCTTCAATATGGCTGATTTATGTCGAGGCAACAGTCCCAACCTCTCAAGCATTAAGTCAATACAATGTGTAGCACAAGGAGTCCAGTAAAGGTGAGGCTTCTTCCCTATTAACATTCTTCCTGCAGCTTTGTATGCACTTGCATTATCAGTAATAACCTGTACTACTAATGCATCTCCCACTTCCTCCACAACTTCATCCAACATTTCAAACAATAATTGTGCATCCTTTACAAAGCTTGAAGCATCTACTGATTTGAGAAAAACTGCTCCATATGGATTGTTGATTAAGAAATTAATAATACTTCTATGTCGAATATCTGACCAACCATATGACATTATTGTCACTCCTGTCTCAATCCATGTCTTCTTAACATCATCCACCATTTTTGAAATTATCTTAACCTCCTCATTCAGCATCCAAGTCCTCAGCTCATACATGCTTGGAAGTTGTAATCCTCTTCTTAGCCCAACGATCAAACACATGATCAACGATGGACTCCTAACAACATTAAATGGAATCCCATTTTCATAGATGAATCTGGCGATATCCAAACAAACTCTGTTTGCCGAGTTCTTTGTAGCTATCGGAGGCTGAATATCCATGAGTATTATGTTTTCCTCGTTATCAATATTTAGACATTAAATCTATCCATGGCCCCCGACTTCCTCGGTCAGAAACCTAGATGGCTTTCAGTATAAACCTTCATGCTGTTATCCATAGTAAGGAAGAGTTTCCTATCATCTCTTTCAATTTCTTTGTTGTGGCATCCTTTGTGGTGAAAACTTCTTTTAAAAATTTGTACATTTCTTTTTCACCTTATCAGGAAACTTTTGCACAGGTCCCACATTGACATGAGTGTAGGCTAGATGATCCTTCAATCTTGACGCCACCAGTTATGTGTTCTCATAGAAATTACATTTCATTGTAAACAATCCTTCTTTGCACATTCGCCTGACACTTCAAGGAGTTCATTTCCAGCCGATCTTCCTTCTGTTCCACTAGTCATGCTAACAATAGGACATATTTTAACAATTATTTGTACTACCAATAATAAAACAACATGAATACAAAAATATACCAGCCTGCCGGGGGTCCAAGGGGGCGCTGTCCCCTGACGGGGTTTGACCTGCCCAGTCAGGTCACGGGGTCAAGGGGCAGTGCCCCTGCGGGGGTTTCTGGGGGCAGCGCCCCCGGATCAAAATTATATTATAAGAGTAATTTTGAAATTCTGCTTGTTGTATATGCTCAATACCGAGCGTACCGAGCGTGTACCGCTAAGTACCGAGCTTGTACTTAGCGGTACCAAGCTTGTACCTGCTCGGTACCGAGCTTGTACTGAGCGGACGAATGAAAGAAAGCCGAATCAGGAGTTATTCAAGCTTTCGTTACTGCATGTCAAAGTCAAGGCCACAACACCGCGTATCTGCTCTTCCGACCTAACCGATGCCTGAACGTTTCCTGCACTCACAACTTCGGCTTCGTTTCTTTCCCTGTGCCATCTCCTTCCAACTTCGTCTCCTACAATCACGGTTTCGTCTCCTTCCCTCACGACTTCATCT